ATGATTTTTCAAGCATTATAAGCAACCAGATCCACTATTAAACTTTACAGAATGACTTTCTCAAGGATATTTTTAAAGAAAGACGAAAAACTGTCTTTATAATTGGCTAGCATGATATAGGGGAAGAGTACGATTGTTTCAAGGTCAGGGTTATCCGTAAAGACTCAGATTTTGAAGGGATAGAAGGGTGCTTTTATATTGTATATCGTGAATATCTTAGATATATTGTAAATCTGCTAATGAAATATTCTGAAATCAAAGCCTATTTAAACCAGAGTAAACTGATATCACTTGCATGCACTACTTTATGATTTAAATATTCCTTATCTCATATTACAAACCCGCCAATTCCACCATTTGCAACCCTGATATTTGATGTAGAAATTGTGGGTGTCAAACGTGCGGCAGCTCAAAATCAGGGGAACCCTGTGGTCCAGAACAATGCAGCAACCAACCAACAACTCCAGGGCAACGTTCAAACGGGACGAAACGCCATGTCTGGGCAAATTGCAGGTCAAGTTGGACAGTCGCCATTAAATTTTCCCGCCCAGGTCACGGGGCTGATTGGGCAGACGAATGCAGCTGGTGGATTAGCGACATCTAGTGGAATACAGACCGGCATGGTGGGCACGTTACCAGGGACGCAGTTTGGGACTCAGCAAGTGAACCCCCTAGCAACCCAACAACAGGCTCAACAGTTTAACCAGGCAAATTTGATACAACAGCTAAATGCAGCAGCGGCTGCAGGGGTACAACAACCTCAACAACAATTCATAGCACAACCTGGTAGTCAAACATTCAACGCTTTAAACACTCTGCAGACACAGCAACAACTTCTTACGGCACAAATGCCCCAACAACAATTTGCCTCGCAAACAGTTATGCAACAGCAACCTCAGTTCGCGCAGGCAGCGGGTATGCCACAACAGCAGACAGTGGGTGGTGCCCAGTCGCGGGGTATTGGATTGCCTGCAGTAAATACAAATTTTGTCTCACCAGTTGGACAGAGTGGGTTGGCGGCTGCGAACTCACAGTTGATGTCAACATCGGGATAAATTGCGTACTCTTTACCTAGACATCAATGAAACTGTATGAAATTGGTGTTATTGGTTGACACAAGTTTGTTTAGAAAATAGATTTTTTCAGAGATATTGGTTATGTTTTTCAATAAATATTTATACTATAAAATAGTATAGGACTTGCATATTTTTATTTTTGCCCCTGTCCCCTCCCCCCCCCCCCCCCCATCTTTTTTTGCAACATGAGTGACACCGCTCAAAAATGGCAGGTATTAAATTGTTGGTCTATTTCAGTCATTTAAAAGAATCAGATACAAATGGTACTTTGACTAAGGAATGAGGGAGAGGGTTTATTTTATAAAGGAAACCGAGACTTTAAGGCAGTCGATTCCTTCATTTGGATTTTTCGTTTCACGTCCATGAACTGTAATGAATTGACATTTCAGTATATGATTCTACAAGAAATAGAAAGAATTAAAATCGCTTTCATCTTTAAGTTTTGACAAAATAAAATATTATCTTGAGTGTAGATATGTTATTTAGTCACCTGAGCCAAAGGCTCGGGTGAGCTTTTCTGATAAAAATTTTCCCTTGTCTGTCGTTGTCCTTCTCGTCATAAACTTTTTTTATTACAATTTCATCTTCCTCTTCAGAACCACTGGGCCAATTTCAACCAAACTTGGCATAGAGTATCTTTTGGTGAAGGGAATTCAAGTTTGTTCAAATGAAGGGCCACGCCTTCTTCTAAGGGTAGATAATTAAGAAAAAGTAAAACTGAGTGGGTTGTTTACAAAAAAATCTTCTCAAGAATTCCACTGGACCAGAAAACATAAAAGGATGAATTGCCATAACTATGGTCTGGGGTACCTATTTTTACGATGAATTATAATAAATCTACAATCATTCTGGTTATTTTCAAACAAGATTGAAGGAAAATGACACCTTTTAAATAGTGTCGATATTTTGTGTTGTTTATAATTTTGAAGAATATTGCATTATCTATGAAGTTTTAGACCCTGTGATTGTAAAATTCGGCCTGGTTTGTGGTCGTATGTTCTTTATGAATAAAGATGAATAGAATAGGCGGGTCTCAGTACAACAGATGGATATGCATGTCCGAAGAGTTTACCTTATATGGCTTTATTATTTCGCACATAGTTGCTTACAGAGAAAAATTGTCCAATCCTATGACTGAATGACAAAACATGCCGGTTTACTAGTTGTTTATATTTTAACACAGACACGTGATTTAGGCCAATTTACACATTATTTCTACTGCATTTCAAACTTTAAAAGGTCAACAAAAGCCTTTATACATGACAATACGCGTGGGACCACAGGATCTATCGTTTTGAACCAAGCAATGCACGTGAAATTTGTATTCACTGATCCTCCAATCGCCCTACAAAACTATAAAATTATATGTTTATGAATCAATTGTTTGTATTTGTGAGCAACGAAATTGTAGATTCGTATTTAATCTGTGATTGAAATGCATATATAAAATTGCCTTTCGGAAGCAAGTAAAACAATGTCTTTTTTCAAGCATTAATTAAATTTTCCTAGTATTTTTTGTAGTACTCACTGGTAATGCAACTCATGTAGCTGATTGGTCGGTTAGAAAGTTACGCTGGTGCCTCAATTAAGTTCATGATGGGATAGGCCAGCTAGTTTTAAAACACAACATTTGAGCGCAATAAGGTACATTTTTCACATATATGTAAAGAAGATGGGTGAACATGACGAGCGGAAAGCCTATAGTGTGACAAACATGAAGGTGAAAAATTATATCTCAATTATATCAAAATTTTCCTTGATATTTCATCTAAAAAATCATCTAACATTAAAATATACTTTATGTAAAATCTCTACAATTTGCAAAAATCTCACAAAGATTGAAATTATTAGCTTATGAAATATTGTACACACACACTTAAGAGGGCAAAAAGAGTCATTTTCTCATACTATAACACTATTTTTTTATATGAGTGTGTCTTCGCTCCATTTTTTTGAAAGTTAATCCTCGAAGTTCGCATAAAATATACATTCTTTGGTTTCCTAAAATATGGAGCAAAGACCCACTATTGGTTAAAAATATACTTTTATGACACATCATTCGCATCTTTTCGAGAAATTAAGTCAAGGGTATATCACAAACATGATTTAAATGCCACTGTTCATCAGGACTTGTGTACTCTTGTGGTTAGCGTGTCTCGAAAGAAAATGATACTCAGGATTTTTATTGCTAGGGTTCGAACCCCACGAATACCACATTATTTTTTTAATAAAAGAATAAATTTTGCCGAGAAAATTTCCCTCAGAAAACTTCTGTTTACCATAATTTCATAAATTTCAATAATGAGAACTTTACTCTAAATACTGAATTCACAAATTGAACATGATTTTTATATATCTAAAGCTATATGCTTTCTGCACGCTACATGTATGTTCGCCCATCCCCTTTCAATAAAATACAGTGACCAGCCAAAGGAGAAAAATGTACGTCCTTATATTTTAAGGGCTTCAAAGAGTTGGGCGGGGCCAAAATTCAATGAAAACTGGATACAAACATTGGTACCCCTACCCAAAATAAAGATCTATTTCTTCCAAATTACGTTTCTATTTTTGATAAAAGTATTGTTCCATTAGGGTACACATATTAGTGATTAAGTACATGCAAAAATTAGAGTAAAATTTACACATTTAATTTTTTGTCAATGTACTGGCACATCAGCCTTTAAATGTTGAAATGATTTTAGACTGTGATACTACAATAAAATGGTTCTATGTTTTCTTTCCTTACTGCTTTCCAAATATTGAGAACTTATGCTTACCTTCCCTGCGAGCGCTCGCCAAAATTCCTTATCCTTCCAACAGAAATGTTCGCAAGCGCTCGCACAGTTGAACAGGCCTTAGGTATGCATGAGAGGTGGAGCTAACATTGTCAGAATGGGTCTAAACTTAGACTAGATAAATAACAATGACATGTGGGGGGGGGGGGGGGGGCGTGATCACTCTTTCCCATTGCCATCTCGATTCTGTATGGCCCAAGTACACTACTGACAAGGGTTTCAAAACGAAATTAATAATATGAGCACGCGCCCATGTAGTAAAAGCAGATTTTAAATCAATGCCAGACGATTTAACGTATTCGAACACACGTAATGTCCTATAGTTAGCACAAGCATGCTATCTTACGAGTTACATGAAGAAAAGTATCCACAAAGTTACCTAAGGTAAGAAGTCACATGGTAAATTACAATTTTGGTTACAACAGTGAGAGCGAATATAAGAAAAAGTAAGGTTTTGTTTTGTTTTTTTTTTTTGTTTGTTTTTGTTTTTTTTAACCATGAGCGCATGTTTGTCTATTAATCTCCTTTTGACACATCATTATTAATGCAAATATGCAACTACTATCAAACGGAGAACAATAGACAAACATGCGCTGACTATTTAAGGTCATTAAAAAAGTGGGCGTCCTCAAGAAATTGTGATGACCCCTGTCTTTGAAAACAGATTAGAACTTCGTAAATACACTTTTATTTAATGTAATTACATAAAGTTGTAGATTGGATGTTGACCATTCTTGCAATTAAAAGAAAAATGTTTGTTTTGCAAGTTTATTTTGTCGAAATTTTGCATGTCCTTAATTAAGTGTTTAAGTGCATTTATCCTTTCTACCAAATGAAACATTTAAAATTCATGAACTGAAGTTGGGTTCGTTTTGTTTGACACCATTCCATTCTAGCAGCACATCTTTTTAAATACCTTTCGACCCTACATCTTGGAAGAGTAAATACGCAGAAAAGAAAAAGATGATAAAGACGGACAAACTTAATTTGATCAGAAAAGCTGAGTCATAGGCCGAGTTGTACAAAAACTTCCGAAACTTTCCGTTTATATCCGGATTGAACCTGTAAATTTTCCGGTATCCATTCCCCGTTCGAAAAGTAGGTCAACAGTTGAGCCTTCAGCGAAGACAACGCATCGCTAGACAACGGGTTGTTTCTTCTATACTAGTCAGAAACTATGGGTGTAGAAAAACAGGTTTTAGCAGAGGGAGATGGTAAGTTATAAATGAAATGGACTAATGTGCAAAGACTCGGAAGCGAAACCAAATAACAATGAATTTATCGAGTTCCGTATCTCGATTTAGTTGCACGTGTTTCTTGTGTAGGTGGATCACAAACGATTTGTAGCAAGTTGTAGCAAGATCTTTATGAAGTCTTTGTTATTTTGCTTCCAAAATTAGCTCCGTACCAAGTAAAACTTCCATGAGATTATTATTCAGCATGTAAATCAACTTTACCTGTGCATAAAAGGTTTGCCCTAGTTTCAAAATTTCATACATGAGTTTTATCAGAGTACCGGCTCCTTAACAAATTTCCTATATATGTCCCTAAGAGGATATCATGTATTTAGAGGGCATTTGATTTGCGAAGTTTTTTATTTTTTTATTTTATTATTTTTTATTTTTATTTTTTGGGGGAATACAGTGATTTGAGCGGTAGCTATACAACCCGTAACCACGTGAATTCTTACCCAAACGTAAGAAAAGCAAATTGTCACAGCTTTGCATGATCACATGTTCTCAAGAAATAACTATTTAGAGAAAATAAAATTTCAGAGAACTTCTTATCTCAAATGCCATGGGACTGAGAAAATACTTCGAGATATCGGAGGATCCAAGATACCGAGGGTAAAATACTTTAGGAATAAGCATTTGGGACTTTTAATTCACCTCGACATATCCATGGTATTCGAGATATCAGTGTTCAAGATACTGAAGTTCAACAGTAATAAGGGGTGGTCAGTCTGATTAAAAAACACCCCCTTCTCCTCACATAGTCCGAAATATCCGACGTTTTCCAGGCTTTTTTTTACGATTTTGATATTTATGTGCCAGGAAAACGTCAGAACCGGCGTCATCAGGAAAACTGGAAATTTTAGCATCTGCAACTGGAGTTGATTTTTGATACTTGCAAAACGAATTAAATGCCGAACTCACAATTTATCAGTAGCACAATGCTTCTAGTACTCACTAATATCGATGAAAAGAAAACACCACTCCACATTTCGATACAGGAATTGCAAGATTTTGAAATGCATGAAATGAAAACAAATCTCGACTGTCAGATGAAATGTTTTCATCGGATTGTATGTTTTACAAACGAACCAAAAAAACGATGTTGGTGAGTACTAAAAGTATTGTAATATTGATAAGTTGTGAATTTGACATTTAATTCGGTTCGCAAGTTTTGAAAATCAACCCGAGAATGCCGCCTCCTGTTGGAGGCGGCGAATTCCCAGTTTTCGTATTGGCGCTGGTTCTGACATTTTCCTGGCATGTAAAATATCAAATCGTAAAAAAGCCAGGAAAATGCCAGATATTTCGGACTACTCCTTACACTGATGAGTGTAAGGAGAAGAAAGGGGGGGTTGAGGGTTAGTGGGCAAAAAAATTATGCATATTTTGATGGATATTTTGAGGACTTCCATAAAAATGACTGACATACATCCTTTAGGAAAGTGTCTACATTAATTAAACCTCCTCCCCTCCCCCCACAAGGGGTTTTTGCAAGTTACTTTTTTGTTTGTTTTGTGTTTGTAAAAGAATTTTCCTCGTCTGACATTTGTTAGAAGAGTTCTTGTGCATTTCCTCCTCCCCCCTCTTCGAAAAAAAATCCTGGATCCGCACCTATGAAAGGAAGTAGGCATGAGTTTTTTCCCTCTCTTTGTTTATGATTCTATGTTTGAGTGTTGGGGGTCACCACCCTGGAATCTCCTCCCCCTTCTTTTTTCAAAAATTGCTGAATCCACCCCTGATGTAGTGCAGCATTTTTTTCTGGCTTATTTAATAATACTTGGTAATTTTTTTTCATAGGAAAGACTTTTCCCAAAGCAGGACAGACAGTAGTTGTTCATTACACAGGTATGATTTAGCTGATCATCAATTTTGCTTATGCATTTTTGAACTCTTGTCTTTAATAAGTCGGTGAATTTTGAATATCAGTAGTGGATATAGGCATGTGGAACGTGATCAGACAGGCAGAAAAATACTGCATGTGTACTTAAAGAAGCGGGCTTCATATTTTAGCGGCTTTGGCGCAGACAACGATGCGCTAATTCATGAATACCACTAAGAAATCATTTAAAAATACAATATACAGCACGGACATGTATAGTGCTAATTCATGATTTTGCCAACAACTCCATACCCAGTGATTGCGCTAAATTTTGAATAAGCATTGCCAGTTTATGTACACATAGAGTAATCAACAACTTACCTGAAAAATTTTCATTCTGAATTAACAGAACTATTGTTTGGATTAAAGGGGGGGGGGGGGGGGGGGGGGGTCAAATTACATGTTTCTGGACAACTGAGTTTTTATTAAGATGATATTGATTAAATACATTAACTTTAGTAAATACAGTGTTACCCAATACATTCATCTTTATTCATATTTTGCTTAAGGAACACTGACCAATGGTAAAAAATTTGATTCTTCAAAAGACAGAGGCAAACCTTTTGAATTTAGGATTGGACAGAGTCAGGTTATCAAAGGTAAGTCATTTTAAACTGATTTTCAACTTACCTGATCTTTTAGCCTTTATGTGTATTTCTTTTTTTTTTTTAAGCTTAAGAATAAAGGAAGCTCTATACCAGCTATGTGAAAGGTGTGCAAGAATATATGAAAATAATGACATTTTTTTTATTTTGATTTTTCAGGTTGGGATGAAGGGGTCATGACGGTATGTATAAAATTACTTGGCACCTTTTTTGTTCCATAATTCATTCACCACTGGTAAAATTTCCAATTTTGTTTTAAATGTCATGACATTTTCACAGTATCTATGCTAATTCAGGTGACCTAGTGTTATATAATATTTAAGTTCTTGATTCAAAGAAATTTAAAATACTTCAAGAATAGATTATATTTGAATTCAGCAGTTTTGGAGATCTAATGAGAGAAATGATACATATTAACAATGTCTATACTGATGAGCACTGAAATAAGGGTTTTAAAAAATGAAGATTTTATATCATGCTATGCACAAATTTGGTTTAGTTGCCAAATAAAAATAAAAGAATTGATTTATCATAGTATGACATTCAAGCTGTGTAGAAATTTCCTCATCATATGCTTTAAACTGATCAAAATTAATCAAATAGTATAGGAATGGGACTCTATATTAATGTAAATGTGTCTTCGTTATGCAGTTTTATTTTTATGCAATTGGAACATACATGTAACTATAGAATTTACAGATTGTTTATTTGTACCTTTTTTTCCTCTGAATAGTTATACCCCCGCTCTGAAGGAGAGGGGGGTGTACTGTTTTATCCTTGTGTGTCTGTCTCTGTGTGTGTGTGTCTAGCTGTCTGTCTGTCCGTAACAAATTTTTCGTCATAGTTTTCTAAGCAACTACTCATCATAGATGATTGAAAATTTAGCACACTTTTTGTTTCGGCATGCCATATGGTGGGATTCATTTTTGTACGAATCCGTGGCCAACTTCCTGTTTTTCCTTGCTTCTGTCCGTACCATACATAACAAATTTTCGTTGCAGTTTTCTCAGCAACTACTCATCACAGATGCTTGAAATTTTAGCATGCTCTTTGTTTAGGCATGCCATATGGTGGGATTCATTTTTGTATGAATCTGATGTCAACTTCCTGTTCACCCCTGTGTCTGTCCGTAACTGAACTTGTGTATATTCACATCAGAGTGTGTATTCACATCTGAGCGGGGGTATTACTAGTGAGCATTGGCTCACAGATTTCTTGTTTGTTTTATACTGTAGTTTTACTAACTTTTATATATACCATTGTACATTTCATATGCATATAATAATGTATCTTTTTTTTTTTTTTTTTTAAGAAAAACTGCAAAAATCGTATAGTGTCCCTTGTAATTTCCCAGAATGCATCCAAACATTTCTTTAGCTTTTGCAATAAGAAGACAATACATCAACTTGCAGAATCACAAAATATCATTTATTTTCACACATTTATAAGAAATTGCCATTGATGCTGTGTTTTGTAGTGTCTTTTACCTTGAAGTGTCCATTACTGTATTAGAGATTTGTTTTCACTTAGTCAAGACTTACTGAACATACGAGGGTTGTTAGAAAGGTTCACAGGCAAGTTTTATTGTGAGCGTGCTACTTGCATGAAATCAGTAAAATTCTGCAGATAAAAACTATATATACTTTCCAATAAATATGCAATGATTTTGTGTTTTAAGACAATCTTTAAAAAATAAACAGTTACTCATATATTATTTAGATAAAACATGCTTCATAGAGCATGGCACTTTTTCACGAGTTTACATTACATAGAATTTTTTTTCCGAAATTAAAAATTGCAGTGTTGTTGCGCTGTTGTAGCGCATAAAGATTTACGATATATCACTTGTCACCACAGTATTCTTGTAATGACATTTGGCGAAATTTTGAATAAAATTGTAGGAGTTGTGACTGTTTTATCATTAATTATAGATGATCAATGCGTAAAAACAAAGTCAAGAATGGCAACTTCATTGAATGTCTTGGAGCACCGACCTATAAAAAAATTATGTCTGCAGACAGGAAAATTCGCGAAAGAGACTAGAATTTTTTTTAGGTGCTGCGGGGGATTACCTACACGTATCTAGGACCAAAGTGTTCAAATGGTAGTAGATTTGTTAGAATGGAAGGATTGACATTTTTGATGATCAACTTTGATACACCAATACCCCACTTATCGCATTGACGTTGTCCCTTTGGAATATGCAGTTTCCATGCCTGATCACTTAACATTGATTTTTCAGATCTCACTAATATCCTTTGTGCCACAAAAGAAATATTTTAGAAAAAAGTAGCATGTCTTTCTATAGTTATTCAATTTTTAAGTAGGAAAATCTATAGAACTGAAAGATATTTAGAACTGTGAAAAAGCTATTAGGTTCCGGTTGGGAGTCAGGTTGTCACGTCACCTAACATCAAAAAAGGTGAAGTGATTGCTCCATGAATCCTATGAACACACAATGAAAATTATAGTATTATAATCTTTAAAATTTTATCAACAAAATGTAACATTCAAGATACACAAAATAGTATTTATGACCTATGGGCTGCAAAACCAAGAATTAATCACTGTTGTCTTATATCTACCCCAATAGATGGTTTTCCATTGAGGTGATTTAAGTGAGAGTTATTTCCCCATGGCGGCCATATTGTAGGTCAACATTCCAAGATCCCTTCATTATTCAACCAAGTTCAATTTGTTATACTGGGCACTGAGGTGAAGATGACGCTATTTTTCTTATGAATATACGTTTGTTAAAGCCTCTTTCAATTCATAATTTCAATATTGTAAATATTTTTTCCCATATATTTCTGGCGTACATGTTTAAGATTGGTTGCTCAAAGAGGAAATTCACTACTTTGACCTACAAGATGGCGGCCAAGGGGAATAACTCCGTGGCAAAATATGTCATAGGAAAACTAACTATTGATTGATAAATTAAAAAAAAAAACAAATGAAATCAGTTAATTCTAAGCATCTATGACCCTATCTTAGATTTACCGTAACAAAAATAAATACATTTAATTGATATTTTAAAGTAAGGGACTCTAAATAACCTTTAGGCATAATTGAGTGTAATTTTCTTGTAATTTCAGGTTTGCTTAATTGGCTAAAGATTGTTTGTGCAAAGAAAATGAACAAGAAAGTACATTGTATAGTGAAACTCTAAAAAGCTGATTCTAGCAAGGCTAATAATATGAAACCTAAGGATAAATTGAGATAAAGACAAAAGAGACAAATAGCGATAATTGAAAAAAAAAAATATAAGACTTCCTTGCCAAAGACTTTAAAGGAACATGATTTCAAATGTGTAAGCCAATGCAAGCTTTTAGTATAATCCTGTACTCTCTTCACTTTGAAAAATACATCTTTTCATGATAACATATATGAAAGTTAATCATTTTGAATTGTAGTGTCCATTACTTATGGTGGGGTATATAGCTTCAAGTAAGATATCTCTAGAACTAAAAGCAAACATGCAACAGTATTTTGAGTTTAATACCAGAGATGCAATGCTTACAGAAAATTTCCATTAATGCAAGTTGAACTTTGGCATCAGATGCAACACATTAAGTACAATTTACTTTGAAGATGGCACATTGATGTATAAACTTTTTACTTTCTTGTGACAAGAGTTACATATACCAGGACATGATAGGCTTACTAATTTTTAGGTCACAGAAGTTAGTCAGATGACCTAAAGGTGCTGTAGGTTCCTTAATTATTGAAACATAATTATGCACTTTTATTTTCATATTGCTAATTAAGTACATGCAAAAACTCTAGATCAGTAGTCCACTCATGAATTCATTTTTACATAGTTTGACATCTTTGAGTAATTTTGTGATATTAAGTACTCGTGTTTAATGGGGTATATACAGTGTCTGGTTTTGTCTGTCTTCTTGCAATTTGCATTTTATGTTAACTTTGGAACATTTGCTGTAATCAGCTTTTTCTTTTTAACACCTGAATCAATTAGATACCTTTTCTCCAAAAGTTATGCCCTTTTGAGCAAGGGTAGGGTCACAATATAACGGGTTAAAGTTTACCATATAAATATTTGTACAATTCCTGAGTAACAAGGACTTGATAGCAATTGTTAAAGATTTACAAAAAATGTCCAGGGTAAGGGGTATATTTTCTGTCAAGAAGAGGTATGTTTGTCAGGTGGGCATTATGGTCCATGGGCCATAGTTGAGATTGGTATTATTAATAGATACAGAATGCATTGACGAACATGTACACGTACAGAGTGTATTTGGTTTTGTTTCAGATGAGTGTTGGAGAGAAAGCCATCCTTACTTGTTCACCAGATTATGCCTATGGTTCTAGTGGTGTTGGCGGAGTATATCCTTTTATAATTCTTTAAATATTTTTACGTTTATATTGATTGTGATGGAGAAGTATTAAGGCCAAGCTTAAAAAATATTTCTGTTTGTTCTTGCTAATCCAGGGGAACTTTTAGAGTGGGTGAGTGGAAGTAGTTAGTTTTTATTCCTTAATTCAAGTTTTGGGGTTTTTATTGGATTATGACTTCTAGGGATTTCCCCCCATCTAAGCATCCCTTGCATACAAAAAGAACAATTTTAAATGATATGAAGTTTTCTATCTTTTTTAACAGGGAATTTAAACATTAAAATCTTTTTAAAAATACACTTCTTAAGATAAATAGCTTGGAAAAAAAATGGGTTTGTGCTTCTTTAGTGGATGTCTAGACAACTGCAAACAAGCGATATATTATTTTAGGCCTAATACAAGTATATTCTTACTTCTGAATTTGATTTTTCTTAACACAGAGCACTATACCTCCCAATGCCACGCTAGTCTTTGAGGTGGAACTCTTGGGACTGAAGTAATTGTTGAGACTCTAAGAAGTCATTACCTATGTACCTCCACTAATTAAGTGCTTGTATACTCAATGTAGTGTAGTTCTCCGTAACATACGTTTGGCATTTCATACTTTGGTTCACTTTCTCTGATTCAATGAAGCCAAAATGGGTGCGATACTTAAGAAGGAAAATCTTCAGTGTATCAATACTAGTATATTCATCTCATGTTTTTGACAATTTTTTTTTTTGATTTATATTTTCTTCACTTATACAAGAAACTTATGTCTTTTGTATGGCAAATTTAGATTATTTATTGTATGAAAAATTTGAATTATATATTGACTTACAATGTGAAAAAAATTTAATATGTTGTGCAAATAAAGTAAGAAATGTTCAGATTTGCTTCCTTTTTAGCTCACCTGAGCTGAAAGCTCAAGTGAGCTTTTCTGATCACCCGTTGTCCGTCGTCTGTCCGTCCGTCTGTAAACTTTTCACATTTTCAACTTCTTCTCAAGAAGCACTGGGCCAATTTTAACCAAATTAGTACACAAAGTATCCTTGGGTGAAGGGGAGTGTAAATTGTTAAAATAAAGGGCCAAGTCCCCTTACAAGAGGAGATAATCAAGAAAAGACAAAAATAGGGTGGGGTCATTAAAAAATCTTCTTCTCAAGAACCACTAGGCCAGAAAAGCTGAAACTTATGTGGAAGCATCCTGGGATAGTGTAAATTCTAAATTGTTAACATCATGACCCCCGGGGGTAGGGCAGGGCCACAATAGGGAATCCAAGTTGTACATTGAAATATATAAGAAAAATCTTGAAAAATCTTCTTCTCAAGAACCACTGGGCCAGAAAAGCTGAAACTTATATGGAAGCATCCTGGGGTAGTGTAGATTATAAATTGCTCAAATCATGGGCCCTGGGGGTAGGGCGAGGCCACAATAGGGAATCCAGGTTTTACATTGAAATATTTAAGAAAAATCTTTAAAAATCTTCTTCTCAAGAACCACTGGGCCAGAAAATCTGAAACTTATATGGAAGCATTCCTGGGGAAGTGTAGAATCTAAATTGTTCAAATCATGACCCCTGGAGGTAGGACGGGGCCACAATAGGGAATCCAAGTTTTACATTGAAATATATAGGAAAAAATCTTAAAAAATCTTCTTCTCAAGTACCACTGGGCCAGAAAATCTGAAACTTATGTGAAAGCATCCTGAGGTAGTGTAGATTCTAAATTGTTCAAATCATGACCCTCGGGGGTAGGGCGAGGCCACAATAGGGAATCCAAGTTTTACATTGAATTATATAAGAAAAATCTTTAAAAATCTTCTTTTCAAGAACCACTGGACCAATAAAGCTGAAACTTATTTGGAAGCATCCTGAGGTAGTTTAGATTCTAAATTGTTCAAATCATGACCCCCGGGGATAGAGCGGGTCACAATAGGTATTACAAGGGGGGAAATCTGGTAAAGAACAGCATGGCCAAAGTTACTCAGGTGAGCAATGTGGCCCATGGACCTCTTGTTATAAGGCTGTTGACAGAAAAATCTTTGTATGGAGAACATACTCTATTAAGCATGGATATTATTTGTTTTACCTTTAAAAATTGGTTCCTACATAAATCTATACTAAAAAAAATTCTAACAATTCCAATGTTTTACTGAGCAGTCATAAAAAAATCGATGTTTGACCACAAAGTGAGATAATGGACCTTTCGATGAGATATTGGACCGCTTACATCACACTGTGGGTGGGATCAGCTAAATGTTATCTTGCATTCGGTGGTGTTCGACAGTAAAGGAATTGATTGAGATTAACCACAGTGCAGGTAATGGAAATTTATATCATGGAAGCCAGCACAAGATGCATGTATGTCAAAATAAATAAATAGACCTAGAATCACTCTTCTGAAAATTGTACAACCTATAATCTGTTTTAAGCCTCTTGGTAACCTATATATAAGGATAAACCCAAAAGTAGGTCAGCATGGCAACAACTGACGAAGTTTAATATCTCCAAGCCAATTAGTATCTGAAATATTTTTAAATTTAGCAATGAAGTTGCAAAAGTAGGTCACAATGACCTACTTTTTGGTTGATAAACTCAGAGGACTCAAGATGCATCAACTGACAAAATTTGATGATTCTAAGCCAATTAGTATCTGAAATGGCAATCAAATTCCAAAAGAAGGTCACAGTGACCTTTTGGTTGACACACTTTGAGGACTCAAGATGCATCAACTGACACAGTTTGATAATTCCAAGCCAATTTGTATCTGAAATCTTCAAGTTAAGACATGAAATTCCAAAAGTAGGTCATGGTGACCTACTTTTTGGTTGATACACTTTGAAGACTCAAGATGCATCAACTGACAAAGTTTGATGATTCTAAGCCAAGTAGTCTCTGAAACAGCCATGAAATTGCAAAAGTAGGTCACAGAGACCTACTTTTTGGTCAGTACACTCCAAGCACCCAAAATGCATCAACTGACAAAATTTGATGATTCTAAGCCAATTAGTATTTGAAATAGCAATCAAATTCCAAATGTACTTCATTGTGACCTACTTTTATGGTCAGGTAAACCTACTTTTTGGTTGACATGCTCCAGGTACCCAAGATGCATCAACTGGCAAAGTTTGATAATTCCAAGCCAGGTAGTACCTGAAATATTCAAATTAAGCCATGAAATTGCAAAAGTAGGTCACAGTGACCTACTTTTTTGTTGATACACTCCTAGGACTCAAGATGCATCAACTGACGAAGTTTGAGGATTCTAAGCCAATTTGTAACTGAAAAAGCCATCAACTGACAAAGTTTGATGATTCTAAGCCAATTAGTATCTGAAATATTTAAATTAAGCCATGAAATTGTAAAAGTAGGTCAAGGTGACCTACTTTTTGGTTGATACACTTCAAGGACTCAAGATGCATCAACTGACAAAGATCCTATGCTTCAAAGTGTCCAAAATATGCTTAAAAAGTAAAACTTTGAAAATGAATACCTGTAAAATTCCAAAAGTAGGTCACTGTGAACTAAATTTTGATAAATCTGTTCTAAGGCCCATAGGTGCATCAACTCAAAAGGTTTGATGATTCTAAACCTCTTAGTATCTGAAATAATGACCTTTAATGTTTAGAAAATGATTAGCCATAAAATTCAGAAAGTAGGTCTCAGTGACCTACTTTTTAGTTAACACACTTCAAGGTCCCATGATGCATAAACTGACAAGTTTTGATGATCAAAGGCTTCAAAGTATCCAAGTTAAGCATCAAATTTAAAATGAAAATGAATACCTGCAAAAATTCAAACAGTAGGTCACCATGACCTACTTTTGAGTCAACATGATATGAGGTCCTAAGATGCATCAACTGACAAGATTTGATGATCCTCAGTCTTATAGGAGCAAAATATCAAAGATTAAAACATATATTTTGGGCAACTTTGAAGTGACCTTGAGACCACGCCCTTTGCCCCAGGGTGATGCCTTGAATAATTTTTAATTAATAACATATCCTCATCCTTGTATGTAAGTTTGGTGATAATCTGCCCAGTGGTTCTTCATCAGATTTTTTAGCAACCACTACTTTTGATTTTATTTCCTTAATTATCTCCCCTTGTTTAAGGAACACATCCCTAGTTTTAGTATAAATGAAAGCCCTTGGGCCAAGGATATTCTGTGACAAATTTGAAAAAAATTGACTAAGGGGTTCTTGAGATATGGCCAATTTTCTAAAAAGTTTACGCACGCTGCACAAATGGCCATAGCATTAGCTCTTTAAACCCTTGGCTCAGAAGAGCTAACAATATAGGAAAAATCTTCTCCTCAAGAACCACTAGGCAAGAATAGCTGAAACTTAAGTGTAAGCATCCAGGGGTAGTATACATTATAAAATTGTTCAATTCATGACCCCGGAGGTAGGGTGGGGCCACAATAGGGAATCAAAATTTTACATTGAAATATATAGAGAAAAATCTTTTAGAATCTTCTCCTAAAGAACCATGGCCAGAAAAGTTGAAACTTATGTAAAAGCATCTTGGGGTAGTGTAGCTTCTAAATTGTTCAAATCCTCCCCCCCCTCCCCCCCCCCCCCCCCCCCGATAGGGTGGGGTCACAATGAGTATAACAAGGGGGAAATCTGGTGAAAAACAGCAGGGCCAAAGGTACTCAGATGAGCAATGTGGCCCATGGGCCTCTTGTTTCTTATGAATAGGTTGTAAAGTAGATATGTAGGTATGTAAAGTAACATCAGTGTCAAATGAAAACAATTTTTAATTATATCTTGTAACAAATCATAATATAAGTAAAAGAACAGGTATAACTTTACATCCTTTCAAGAAAAAAGCATGTTAAAAGTAATGACATACTTGTATATAAGTATAAAACAGTTTGTTGTACAACAAAATAGAAAGAAACAATCCCAATTTACGCTAGAATTTTAAATATATACACTTGTTAACATGCACTGTATAAGGCCAACTTTAAAATAATGTTTGTTTGCCCTTTCCTGACTCGGGACGAAAAAAACTGGGTGGGTAAGTAGGTGGGACATTTTTTTCTCGGAAAATTTCAACATCAATGCTGAATTTTTCAAAATCTATTTTCCGGAATGCAGAAAAATAGTTTCCTGGAGGTAAAAAAAAGTTTCAAGTCCAGCCATTTTTAGCCAGTTGGTGGGGAGAGGGCAACCAAACGGTTTTTTAAAGATTGGATCAGGATGGTATTTTTATGCAATATTTGCTGAAGCTGATCAAACTAACCAGGTCATCCAGAGCCGTGCAGTTTGCTTCTATCCACAATTTAGATTTTCTTATTCCCCCCCCCCCCCCTTCCCCAATGCATAGATGTTTCTCTGTCACAGATCACCCTGGATGGTGATCATAGTCTATAAGATTAAATGCACTCCACTCACAGAGACGTTCTGATGGACGTGAAAATGATAAAGACAAACACATATAAAGATGTGGGCCACTGATTACTGTTGCAATACAATGCTAGGCACTCGGGCACACACAAAGAACTGCGAACGATAGCATTGTTCTCCCGCCTACCACAAAGTCAATTTTCAAAAGTTAACACATTTGAATGATTTTTCATATCTATATAGATATTTATATGAATTTTCATAAAACATTGTTTCTTTGGGAAAACAAAGAGAGATAACTCTATAATTTTGGTAAAACTTGTGTTTTTCACTATAGAAATCAACGGAAAACGGAAAATATTTTTAAAACATCTTTCCCCCCCGTGAAACAAAAATTCCTTTTTACAGGTAATATGGACTATTATTTCACAAATTCATGCCAAAGCTTTTTGTGTTTCATGGGGGGGAACATATGTCTACAGACAAAAAACTAATAAAATGCTTATTTCCCCCCCAATTTCAAAGCGGTTTACAACTAAAGCATCGCATTTTATTGATAATATATGTTTAATTTTATATGAGTAAAACATAAGAAAAGGTTTAAGGAACATTTATTCATATCCAAGAATATTTTAAAATGTGGTGATACTTTAAAGCCAAATTTCAATGAAAAATATCGTCTACCCCCCTTATTTATTAGTTGGAATTAGGGGTAATTAACTATTTAACACTGGAATTAAAATTATCAGTCAATTACCATTGAACTGTTCTTTGCATTCAACAAAGATTTTTCGGCCAAATTGCCATTAGTATTGATTTAAATGGGTGTAAAATGTAGGCGGGAATCGAGAGTTAGCGTGCGTAATTCTTTCAATAGTCTTTAGAAGAAAGTTACTAGTATTTGTTTCTTTATCTATAATCAAACCAGTTACAGTAATGGAGGGCGTTACAGTTCTGTCAGACAGTGCAATAAGTACAAGTAACCTGATTTTATTTGTAATACAAACAGATCCTTTATAATTTGTGCAAAATAATTCAATGAACAAATGAGAATAACGGTAAAAAAAATCTATTGCCTTTAAAACATCTTCAGAATTTCATATATACATAGTCCATCATCTACACTTGACTTGTACAATCTGTTTACATGTATTGTACATGTATATCAATATCTCACCTCATACACAAAAAAGTTCATTATTGAATTAGAATTAACAAGAAATAATAATTTGATTAAAAGTCAAGAACAATGCTTTCAATAAATCACAGTTTATAACAATTTTAGTCTATAGACTGATGATCAACTCAGTTCAAACCCAGCTCCTGATTCTATAGCGTAAGCCAGTTTGGTTCTGAGTGTCTCTTTGTCATGGAATTCTGGAAGCTTGAGAAGATTCATACAAGTACTGGCTGTCGGAAGCCTGTCCTCTTCACTCCCTCCAAAGTGAACACAGAATGCTGGGTACAGGTCCTACCAAAAAAATATATACAAGTTTGTGTAATGTTGACAAAGCTTATTATTTGAATAATACAGTGTCTTTTTTTGGTTTGTGACCTGATAAGCAAAATGAAAATATGATGAGAAAAAGAAATCTACAGGCTCTGGGGGCATAAATCTTAGATGAGCTTAGATCTCAGATTCACTTTTCCACTATTAATTCCTTTGGTAAAAGTGAGACTGAGATCAAAAGTGAGCTCGTCTAAGTTTTATGGTCACATAGCCAGGTGACTCTCAATACTTCAAAGTTGGAAGGACCATGGATAAACTTACAGATCAAGAGTTCAAAGTTGAATGAGAATGCAGAAATTTCTGAATTACTTGATTGGTTTTAAAATTAGTTGAACCAATAACAAACTACCAGAATACCAATATGATGTCCTTTTACAAAGAATTAGTGAATAGAATGACAACCCACATTTACTTTAATTTATTTATAGTCAAATCTAAACTTAAACAAAGGAATGTCATTGATTAAATACACTTGTATCACTGTTGTAAAAGAGAATTACATGTTAAACTAATTTTAACTAACTGAGACACAGAAAATGATAGCAACCTGGCAAGCTTGATCGCTATCACTTTCTCTGTCTTCGGTCAATATCACTTGACATGAGTCCTTAGAATCACATTAAACCCTTTGAGTTTACCTTAAACCCCAGCAGGGGTGGACGTGAGCAGCTTGTTACAAATTTCAGTAACTGACGTTTCTGTGTGTCTGTGAAATTTTCCACCACCTCCCAAAAGTTCTGAATGACTGGGTGACTCCCTGTATAGCCTCCTAAAAGATAATTAATATACATATAGTTACAGTATGCATGAAGAAAACAGCCAGACACTGAACAAACATAAAATACTGTATATTCCTAAATATATGCAAGGAATTAATCATCGCGGAATTTCGAAAAAAGCATCACTCACGAATTAAAATGATTCGCTTTTATTTTTATGGTGTTAAAATCCATGTAAAATCTCTTCATCAAACGCCCATTTGCAAATTATTTTACTCACGATTTGACGTTAATGGATCATTTAGCGATAATAAGTACTCACAAAAAAGAAGGAATCTACAGTATACAATAAATTATGCTTGCCTTATGGCCTTAAGAGGAACTTTATGGTTAAAAATAATTTCTTTAATCTTTCTTTGACCATTGATCCCTTTCTCCAAAATCCCAATACAAGGGAAGTTAACTTTTTAACCAAAGAAAATAAAGTACCTACATGTACATTTATATTTCAAAATAAACTGCATTTGTTGCACACCCTCCTCTTTTCTATTTTGTTACGCAAAATTTTTATAAAAGAAAAGAGAATAATAATGTGGAAACCTGAGTAATGTGTGTGTTGCTTCAGATCCTCAATATTCACAGGAACCATAGCACCAGATATCAATGTCTGGAGCTCGTGGTGGTCAAACATTCGTAACCACTCCAGGTTAATGAGGTCAGCCATACCCTGACGGAAAGCAGTACAGTGTGTTCTGATCTGTAGAACAAAATAGTAAACAAGACGCAATTATTCTATCTATACAAAGGTCAAGAGGCTACAATGCTCACAAGTTGTTAATTTTACTGAATGAAACTTTATAAAGTTTCATTATATATAGGCCAGATTTTGAATTAAACAAGTTTTATTGTATATGTTTGAGTCTAATATTGTTCAATATCAAATATTTAGTAATAAATTCAAGACTTTTGTAACATCGGTGAACATCAGTTCTAGCCAATTTATACTAGTGAACTATTAATGGTAATTGAGGATAAATAACATAAACAATTTTTTTCTTCCAAAATTTAAATAGGTGCCTCTGACTTTGACCAAGCTACATATGGTGAAAAGTGGGAAATGTCACTTTAAAGTTCAAAATAATTTTTGAAAAGTTATAAAAATGTATAAGTTTGGCTCTGTAAAGTTTCTGGGAACATTTTAAAGAGTCTTCTTCTTCTTTTTTTTTTGTTGACATTTCACATAATGAAAATTTCCTTATTAGATTTCAATTGAAAAAAAATAATGTAACTCTTCTATTTGGGAGATAAGAAAACTTCCCTGTGTATGTACAGTATATTAAATTTTCATGAGTTTACATTTACATGTACTTGTTTTCACCTTTTAAAAATCCCTCAAAAATCCCCCGAATTACCTGTTTGTTGATTTTGTAATCTGCCATAAGATGGATGTACTCTATTTTATTAGCATCAGTGACAACTATATTTCTTCCCCCTGGCTTTAGCTCCACTACCTGCCAGAAATAAGCATAAAATAAAATGTCATCATTCTTCCACTACTGCACTGACATTTCATTCATATATTGACATATCAAATTTCTATAATACACAGTACCTTTTTTTCTCCAAAATTGTCATTCAGGGTGGTGAAGTCTAAGCCTAGATCCTCTACTTCTTTCCCATTCAGGGTCTTAAGTGACAGCAAGTTTCTGTAAACCAATGATTCAACTGAATATGTCATAATGTGTGCTTATTTCATACAGCATTAACAACTAAATACCAATTATCAGCTTTACTTATCATTGCTTCAAAGTCAACTGATTTAAATGAACCAAACCCTCTGTAATTCCTGTGTCTAATTCTCTCCCTTACTTGTACATTTCTGGATCTAGTGATGCTAAATGATGAATATCTAGGTCTCCTCCATGTCTACTTAGTATCTTTGATAAAAAGAATGTAGCAAATGGGATCTCTACCAGCATGTTCTCATAGATAGCCTGCCAAGAAAAAAAAAAAGAAAATGTGATATGACCACTCTTATTTAACCATTCTTCAGCTATAATGAAGAGAAGTAATGTATGCAACTTTCCCTTGTAAAAAATACAAAGTCGGTGTAAATCCTTTTATCAGAAAATAAAATTATTTTGACAAACCTTGCCCAACATACGGCCTAGGAAGTAATAGTGTTTGGTGTAGTTATCCATGAGGGATACAGATTGGGGGTTTGGGTAAAGTAATCTGTCTGTTGTCATTAGGAACAAGCCTCTGTTTGGATCAAATCCAGTTTTCAGGAGCTCAGACAGAAATTCTCGGAATATACCCCCTCCATCGATACCAGCTTCATCCAATCCTGCTGCATTCATCAGCTGGACTCTCATTTTCAGCTTTAAGTTTGGTTCTAAATTGAAATATGTATTGCTTGTCATTGTTGATAAAATAATCATGCATCTAGTTTCATAAATGCAACTTTTTTCCCTGAATTTTAAAATAACTGTCTGACATTAGCATTCTGCATAAAATTTAGCATTCTAAAATAATGGCTTACCAACTTCACTAAAAATTTTAGATTTATGTAATTATTGTTATGCCTTTAATGTGAACAAACATACCATTTTCTGGTGAGAGTTTATCATAGGCATCCTCATAGATATAGTTCCTCCTGATGGAGACATTAATAGAGGGACCAGTTAAAAAGTTGTGGGCATCGCCCTGGTTCTCCTCCCTGTCATTCTGTATCAGCTTCTGCAAAATCTGCAATACACCAAGTTCACATTGTGTTTAATCAAATAATCATGGGAAATTGGTTATAATATATTTAAAATTATTAGCTGCCTTTTCCCCTCTAAATTACAGTTCGCAAATTAAGAAATCTGCCACCAGGACCAAAAATTCTCTAAATGGCCTACACTTTATAAACACTTTCTGACATTAACATAAAAGAAAAAGATTAATGGCCATATCAATATATATACTTAACTTACAATGCAAGTAATTTTATGGTTAAATCGAAGGCTAATTAGTAAGTTTATAAGCATAAAATATATGTTATTCAGACAACCTTGACTCGCTCCTCAAATGACACCACAAATGGAAGCTCAGTTAGAATGACCAAGTTCTTTACATCTGTGTTTGATAAAGGAGGACCATCATCATCTACAAGAACATAAAATTAATTATATACCCCATGAAAAATTAGAAAATAAACAAGTTTCATCAAGATCAAATTTGTGTTTTATCTGCTATATAGGAGCTGTCCTTACCTATCTGTACTTTAGTGAGGTGTCTCATTGTGCCAAACGGGCGTCGACAGAAAACAGACCCCCTGGCTCTGTACATTTGAGAAGGCTAGAAAAGTATTCCGAAGAAAATTTACATACAATTTAACAGCACAAAATTCAGCTCTTATTATGAGTGAATTTGTAATAATCTTATTATGAGTGAATTTGTAATAATGGGCTCACCTTATCAGCATGTATCTGCACTCTCTCCGAGAGCCAAGCATTTATAGGACAAAATCTTCTCCTAGAATCTCTTGTGTATAACTGTCTTACTAAAGTAGCTATAACCTGTGTGATGAACAGACCAAAATAAATGTAATCCTCATATACATGTAGAAATGCTGAAAGTCACTACTCATAATGGTTTTGGAAAAAACTGAACAGTGTTTAATCACTTTAGATGAGATACACTGTACCATCATTTTGCTCAAACCTTGAATAAATAAGCCCAAGTCTTGGTATGCCTGTAGGGGGTCTCTTTATTGTGATATGATAAGTCCCTGGGGTCCTTCATGGCAGTCCTACGGAGTGCCTCTCTGTAATCCTCTGTCACAGATGGGCGTGTCCCAGGGTGGGCCAGCTCTATGATTCCTAGACATGTGTCCCTCAGCATTAGAACCATAGGAACAAGTTCCTTTAAGGAGAATGGCATGCTGCTATCTTTGCTGCCTAAAACATAAAAGAATAACCTCATGTACTTAAATCAAGAAGGCCATGATCTTTGATGGTCACCTAAATATCAGGATTATTTCTATATGAGCCACCATTATGACACTGTTTTTTTCTTCTAGTGACCTTGACCTTGTCCAAATGATACATTCACAAGCACACTTCCTTTCACGAGTAATCATTTCATCATAGCCTAGAGAAACATCTTGCTCCTTTCCTTGCTTAAACCTGACCTTGTTAATATGACCTTGAATCATTGCCGTGACAGACTCTAAGGTCATTGGCAATCATCATTGTATTCAGTGTGAACAAAAAACATTTTTTATGTCTTCATTACATTTGCATAAAAATGAGTGCAAAGGTTTCACTCTTGTTCAACTTCCTATTCATTCCCACTTACTTTTCATGTCTCCATAGAAATCAGCATCATGAAGTGTGTATAGAGAATGGCTAAACATAGAACAGAAAACAGAGAGTAGAGGTACGATTCTCTGCATGTCATCGTCTGACATCTCCAAGCCTCGGGACAGGGTCTGCAACAGCGTGATCTGTGACCTGTTTATAAATAGGTATAAAAAATTCTCATTTTAGTCACTTCATCAGGTTTTACACATGTACATATATACTGAATTTTCTACTTTCTACAAACATTAATCTCACATTAATTCTTTGAACGTTTGAAATGATGCTTCCAAATATTCGGAAGTGCTGTCTTACAATAGACAATGATACTTGTTTAAAGAACATCAACAAGTTTAGGCACAAACACCACATTTACCAGTATTTGAACGTACTTTTCTATATGCTAAACAAAATACCTCATACTTACCCTGTTACTGTTGTGTTGGACACATGAGTACAAGTTATCCATAACAACTTCATGAATTTCATGTTAAAGGCTAAACTATACAATAACCTACAAAGTAAAGGGAATTAGCCATAGAGCTTTTAAAAAATTACACAAACAGCCAACAAAATAATTTACTCCATCTATCTGAGAGTTTATATGAATGAACTTCTCTTTAGTCTCAATTAATATGCTTTAAAATACATTTTAGGAAACATGAATATTTACAAATGAATCTTCTGTAGAGCTGTTTCAAAGGTGAAAGTTACAGGTAATGTACAAAGAACAAGGTATGGTAACAGCCGAATTTGGCCCCTTATTTAATGTAAAAAACAAAACAAAGTTAAATTTGTGATAATTTACATTTATGAACTTTAAATGTTGTTTGTTTTAAAACCAGCATTAATTTTGATTCAAAGCATATAAAGAGGCCATATGCATAGTAGGACATTTTACCAAATTTCCTCAATGCTGATGGAATTTTGACAAATTTGAGAATAATGAGATACTTTTTCACTTTGGGAAACAGAGTACAAGCTTGCCTATCTGAGATTTTTTTAATAAACAAGATGCATTTGATACTAGTGCATGAAATACTTAGATTTAGTAGATAGGCAAGCTTGTGTGCTGTGTTTTCTGAAACAAAACTTCCTATAAATTGATAAAAATTTGCATAAAATTGAGAACATTTGGAAATTGACTTATTTTGTGACCTTTTTGTATGCCATGAATCAGATTTAATACCCATTTTGTAACAGGGACAACAACAGGTTTTAAAAGATAACTATTGCATGTTCTTTGAGACACTCCAAACCAGTGGCCAAAAAGGGGTCTTAGGCTATCTTGTCCTTTGATCAGTTTGTGGGATTGATACAAACCTATGCTTATGAATGGAGAATAGTTGTTAATACAAACCTAAGTTTATGAATGGAGAGGTGTTGTTGTGACATGAGGGAGTGACATATAAGACAGACAGAGGAGACAAGGTCACGGTCCATTCTACGGTTCAGACACTCTACCACACACCGCACAAACTTCTGAGAATTCAGGAAAGTTACACACTCTGTTGCCACTTCATGGAGTTCCTTGGATATCATATCCTGAAACATTCAAAAAATAGTCACAAAGTCAGTAATATGCCCCTTAAATATCCAGTGATCAAAAATAAAATACTGTAAGCATACTTTTTTCAACAGAGTCAAAATCTGTGGAATCACACTTTCTTTTCAATCCACAGGTAAAAAATTAACCGGATTTCTTAGATTGCCAATTTATGCCTTAACTGTATTTAAATACGCTGGGACAAATTTCTGTGGAAAAAGGATGAATCGTTTAAACGTCCAAATCTGGCCCCCCGATAATTTACAAAAAATTAAATTAAAGATTTTCTACATATTTTTGCCTCAATCTTTCCATCAAACATTGTAGTTAATTAATTTCAATTTCAATTTTTTCTTCCTTGCACTTTAATAAGGTATTTATCTGATTAATATAGCAAGGGTATGTTGTTTACATCGATTTCCATAGACTTTAGGTCACACCCCCATTTTGCAAGCCCATTTTATATATGAGCACATGGATGTTTCAAGTTGTCGTAAATATGGTCAATGTAAAGAGTTATACTAGTCATTTACATTCATGAAAGAAACTGAAACTGTCTTGCGCTCATTTGCTATTTTCCAAAAAGGTGCAAAATCATGGGTGCTTGTCTCCAGAGCAAATTTCAACCCTTCTTTGACCTCTTGAATAACAAAGCACTGAACACGTGACTCAAATCTATTCACTTCCACACTTTGAGCACACCTATGCGACATTGTGTCTGTGAGCTATCGATGGTCAAATCATTTTTCAAATGGGTAATTAAAATTCTGGGAGAAAACTTTTTATGATTAAGATGTGTTAAGATTTTCAGTTGATTTCGTTTGATTTTTTTCGGTATCTATCAATTTATTTTGAAGGCCTGTAACATATAGCTTGCACTTACTGCTTGTGTATCATTAATACAGAATTTTAAAATTTAAATTACTGTGGGTACATATTATACATTTGCCCTTGTCCCTACATATATATCAGTGCTCCGTTCATTGACTTGGAAGATATGAAAGATTTTTTTCAGTTAAAACTGTCATTAATTTTATAGTCCATTTTTTGAAAAACACCAATTCATCATATCTTTAGAAAAATAAATTGCTTGTTACAAGTGCACAAATGCATACTTCCAATAGAAGAAACCTTCAGGGAAAGAAATTGAAGTACGGAGCGCTCAAAAAAACCTGTGTATCGGATGAAAAGTCACTGGATTAATACATTTGCACAAAAAGCACCCCTAATTTGAATAGAGGGAAGCTACGGGTTTCTTCTGAAGCAAATGCTATAACTTTTTACATCAGCACAAAATTGATTTTTTTTTTCCCAGATCATGTAAAAAAAAGTCCATGTTTGCAATTATTTTTAAAGCATAATGTTTAAAAGCAAGAACATGCATTTGTATGACCCTTTCACATGTCCGATCAACGTAGATATTAGTAAAAAAAAAATCAGTCAAATGAAAAAGGGCGTTTGAAAATACCTCGGAATGATTTATTATTTATCTTACTATCAAAAAGTACAGGAGTGGATTTCGACAATTAATGAATTCCTAAATGAAGAAGCTCATATTAACTTGTCTGGCATGAATAAACAGGATTTTTGAAACAATGCAATTTGGACTGTACAAAGTACACTGACACTGATGTTTCTTTAATCACCAGCGATGATACTGACGTTAAACTGACGTTTAATTAACGTTTAAATTTTCACTTTCTTAACTATCTATTTTTTGTACACCGAGTGTAGTTTTATATCATAATTCAACCGCCTACGTGTATTTGTTGTAGCACTCGGATTTTGCAAAATTATATATATGTATGAAAAATTTCAAATTATGTAATAAGCTTGAATGGATTAATTATCTCTTTTTACAAAAAAAAAGTTTCTTTAAAGTATGAAAAATAGTGTATCCTTTGTTATACGTTGTTTCCAAATTCCATTGTGTATTTAATGTATAAAGAATTTAACGAATTTCTAGTAAATCATTTCAAATACGACTCGTAAGTTAAGCAGAAAAAAAAAAATCAAAATTAAGCCAGCCAAATTAAAAATGTACTATGCTTATATTTTGTCAGTCTCTAGCATGAAAAAAGGCTTTTTAGGTGTCAGTTAATCATAAAACTTAGTACACCTCGAACACACCCTAATGTATTCATACTAATTGCACGCTTGATAGACGCTCCACCTTCTCATTCAAATAATACAATGACCTACATAGCTGTAATGGCAAAACCGGGATTTTACAGTGAAGTATACGATTTTATTTAATCGATAAAATGTATATATTGAAAGTCTCTTTCCCAAAAAAATCTTTTATGAGTATCTATACAGACTATGCTTGAAGACTTTAGTTATAATATAACAATATTCTGATTTGAAAAGGTAAAATTCTGCATTTAAAAAGGGGCGAGAAAGCAGTGTTATGAAGATTCACTCTTTGTAACCAAATACATAGCGAACATTAATACCACGTGGAAAAAAGTACCTCTACAGTATATGGTAGTCAATTACACATTTTGCAAGACATAGCCATGCTTTTACATGTATTTCTAAGATATAACTTTTGTTATCCTCTAACAATAAGCAATGATTACCACAGACAGGAGAATTGACTGTATTTCTAAGATATAACTTATGTTATAAGTACTGATTACCACTGACTCCTCCTCATCACTGCTGTCAGTATCGCTGTCACTACTGGACATAAACACTCCAGCTGGCAGATGTGGCAACAAAGTTCTCAATACCAGTAGAAAGTCTACAGCATCACTTACACTCAAATTCTCTACAAAATACAGCAAAAATTAGTATCAGTAGAAAGTCTACAGCATCACTTACACTCAAACCCTCTACAAAACACAACAAAAATTAGTACCAGTAGAAAGTCTACAGCATCACTTACACTCAAACTCTCTACAAAACACAACAAAAATTAGTACCAGTAGAAAGTCTACAGCAATGCTTATACTTAAACTCTCTACAAAACACAACATTAGTACCAGTAGAAAGTCTACAGCATCACTTACACTCAAACTTTCTACAAAATAGAGCAAAAATTAGTATCAGTAGAAAGTCTACAGCATCACTTACACTCAAACCCTCTACAAAACACAACAAAAATTAGTACCAGTAGAAAGTCTACAGCATCACTTACACTCAAACTCTCTACAAAACACAACAAAAATTAGTACCAGTAGAAAGTCTACAGCAATGCTTATACTTAAACTCTCTACAAAACACAACATTAGTACCAGTAGAAAGTCTACAGCATCACTTACACTCAAACTTTCTACAAAATAGAGCAAAAATTAGTACCAGTAGAAAGTCTACAGCATCGATTACACTCAAACTCTCTACAAAACACAACATTAGTACCAGTATTAAAAAGTCTACAGCATCACTTACACTCAAACTCTCAACAAAACACAACAAAAATCCATAAAACCAATGAATTCTTCCACATATTTAAACTACCTTTTCACAAAATTTCATACTAGTATCACTGTAAATTCCTTATTTTACGCGAGTACTTAATATCGTGAAATGGCCCAAGGGGGTCAAATCGCGGGAACAATAATTCGCGAATCAGTGATTTATCTAGAAATTTTACATACATTAAAGCACCATAAAAATAAAATCGAGTAATTTTATTTCGCGAGTGGTGCTTCTCACGTAATTTACGGTAATTACGCGATAATTTATTTCTCACGTATATTTAGGAATCTACAGTACTTAAATCTAGTGGTTATGAAGTGAATAAACCAAACTTCTTCCCATGACTTCTCATTTGCTATGCACTTTTTCATATTTTTTGAAGGGCATACCAATATTTTTGTCAGCGAAGGCTATGACAGAGCCCAGTAGCCAGGGAGATGGTGTTAGAACGAGTGACGGCTTTGTGTTGAAGTTTTCTGAACAGGAAGCTGACGTTTGTTGAATCAGGGTCTGAATCAGCTCCACAAAAGGAAATGGAAATTTACTGTACACCATAGCAGGGATCAGGAATTGTTCCACCTGTTCCGAGTATGCTGGGCAGAACAGGTAATAACAAATGCTGCTCAATACTAAATCACTGTTAAAAAAAATAATCAAAAATTAAAGACAGGTAGTAACAAATGCTGCTCAATATTAAATCACTGTAATAATAACTTTTTTTTTAAATAACTGTAATTTTTAGCCATCATAAGGATAAAATTTAAATCAATTAAACACACTTACCAAAATTCTTTATCTTTGGACATAACTGCAAACTGAATTGGGCTTAAAATCATCTTAAAAATGCTATCTGCCTGTGGGGTGGGAGGGTGGGGGGACTTCTCCAAACTCTGTGGTACCTTTACTTCCAACACATGCCTCATAGATCCAAAATACTCTGCATACATACAAGTAATAATTATTTGTATATATAGTCTGTATATGGCATTTGTGACAAAATATATACTGTATAAGTGGAATTCTTAGCGAAATGCAAATTTAGCGATTTTTCCTAAAATATAGTATTTAATTTTAGCGAGAAGTAATTTTAGCGATTTTATGGTGCATAGAAACCTCTAATGCAAAATAAATTGTTAGCGATATTTAATTTTAGCGATCTCGACACCCTCGCTAATAATGCCAAAATATATCTCGCTAAAATTTCTGCTTATACTGTATTAAAAAGATGTCTAGCAAGGAAAGTGAGGAATTTACACATTTGTACGATAGCCCACAATGTACTTATTTGTCCTTGACCTTTGAAAAGGGGTCTGATATCTATACATTTCTGTGATGTTTAGATTTTGATGGACAGACAGGCACTGCTTTTACTATGGCACTCTCATTCTCATGAACCCTAATAAGTATAGTGAACTTTTAATAACTTACTATTTATGTTTAATGTATACCTTTTTTGATCAAAAATAGCCATATTTTGCCAATAATATCTCTATTTTCTTTATAGGTATCTACAGATGTGAAGATTTCCAAAACCCTAATAGGAGGACCCCAAGATCGTGAGTCTGTCACTTTTTGCAGATTCCTAAAAATAAAGAGCAATAATAATTTGCTTGAAAAAGCTTTTACTGTAGATCAAGAGTTAAAACAGTGTACAAAATAATTGTAACCTTTGTTTTCCCCAATAAACAAGAATTTCTTGGGTTTCTTTGGAGGATTTATTTTTTTTTACATATTCAACATAAATAAACATATCAAACATGAGATGCTCAAGACCTAGTGGCAATTTGCTAGCTTCTACTTTAAGTCTGATATTAATACAGATTCAAAACTAGAAGTCTCTGATGAGACTGTAGCTCTACTGGTCTAATAAAGGAAAAATAGAATTATGTATCTTAATATGGTCTACTTCTGTGCCAAGTTATATCGAAATCAAACGAAAAACTGGAGGAGTGGCATTTTGAAAGTATTTCACAGAAATGTCTATTTTTAGTAACCATGACAACACCATTCACTGAAATCAAAAACCAAAATACATATTACGTATCGTAGTGTATTCTAATTATGTGCCAAATTAGATTGAAATCAGACCAAAACTGTAGGAGGAGTAGCATTTTAAAGGACAGAAATTTCTATTTTTAGTAACCATGGCAACATCGTTCATCAAAATCAAAAACCAATGCACTAAATTATGTATCTTAGTGTGATCTACTTGTGCGCCAAGTTATACTGAAATCAGACCAAAACTGTAGGAGGAGTAGCGTTTTGAAAAATTGTTTACAGACAGATGGACCGACAGACAGACAGCTAGACAGACAGACAGATGGACAAACACCTTACTATCGCATAAGCTCTTCTGGTCTCTGACCAGTAGAGCTAAGTAACAGGCAAATTTAATAATTTTTTCTGTTTATACATCAGTTTCATTTTTATTTTTTCTTTAACTCATTTTCTTACTTCAGACAGAGAAGGAGAAGATGTTGTAGAAGGAAAACACCAGACTCCCCTCCTTGTGTCACTCGAGATTTCACCAACTCTGTCTGCTTGATAACCACCTGGCAGAGCTGAATCTACACATACAAAAAATAGAAATGTTTTTTGGGCGTAACTCATCCAATACATAAATGTAAAACTGATTCTCAAAATGTCACAATAAGAATCAGAAAGAATCTATCTAATCTTTTAATTTAAAAAGTTTTAATATGCTTTAAATATTCAAAAATCTCCACATTTGATTTAATCATCTGGTGACATGAAATGACAACTTACCAGCCTGTCTTGATCTTTTTCAAACTCTGTCCTGTAGAAATAACATAATCTCCTGATGGCATCAAACAGAACTACTGAGTCTGTGATTTTCCTGGTCATCAGCTGATCATACTCATGTCTAAGGACCTCCCTCTGATGAAGGTATCAAAAATAGTCAATATAGTTTTAATAATAATTCATGTAGTCATTTGTATTGAACGGAAATATTAGGGGAACTCCATTATTAAAATGATGTGTGATGGACTTCAACAACTTTACCTGTCTTTTTCTTTCAATGTGGCCTCGATAAGCTGACTGGATTTTCACAGAAGAACTGTTCCTTTGCCTTATTTCCTTTGAATAAAACAAGAATGATACTAGAACAACACTATCATGATAATTTTCCGTATACTAGTAAATGCTAAAATAAAGTTTCTTTATGATATTATCCCAAATAATTATTAAAACTGAGCTTCTTTGCAAAGAAATCCTTGCAGGCAAAAAAGTTTTAGGGTAAAACTAATACAACATATTACCTCTCTCTTCTCCCTTTCTACTTTTGTCCTTGTGAGTAATGAATCTGTCAGCTCCTACAACACAAAAGTATTAATGTTTTAATGTCCATTACATCTATATAACATGATCCAAAAATCCTCATTTGAGGCAAAATACCTGATTGTCTTATTAATTGTGATGTAGCAAACTTTACTTCTATATGTTATCAAATATTATTTATGAATTACAGATTAAAAGATTTTCCATGCTTTGTTTTGAACATATTTTATTGAAAATTTGTTAAAGAGAGATCAGACACAAGTTTTAATAACTAAGATAGTCCTCTTCCATTCTTTGATTAGTTATTTGATTAGTTTCAATAGACACCCAAATACTAGTATATACAACCCTGGTTTTTAAAACTGAAATTAATTTACATTATTTATAACTATGACACACAGAGATCTCGGATGAGATTGAAGCTTCATGGGATCACATGTAAATATTGAAAGTATTGCCATGTTTATTAATTGTAGTTTAGTGAATAAATCTGTTACAGCAACAGTTGAATAAATCTCTCACTTGTCTCTATCCCTGTTAATGTTAACACACCGAAACATTGTCTGTATTCCTGGGTTTTCCAGTTGATTGCTCTTTTAATTACGCACATTTACATTTTTTAGGAGAATTTTTTTTTGATAAATGTACTGATAACCAATTAATAAATAAGGAACCACGTTTTAAAGACAGAACCGTTATATATACCATACAGAATCTGTCTCAAATAAAATCACAACGAAACAAAAACTGACATTACCTTTGGGATTTCTTCTGCGGATTTTTACAATATTTCAATCAAATTACCTTTTTGCTGGCACCTCTCAAAGATTGAACTGGTTTTCTTCGAAAATCTCCCTCAAAACTGTACATTTTGGTGATCGATTTCTTTACTTTCTCTGATAATGACAAGTTCTAGAATGTTACCATTGTTTTTGTCCAGCTGAGCTGAATCATGTATGAGGATTGATTTTGAGACAGTAATTTTCATTAGTTGTTTCTTCTGAATTCATCCAATGAAAAAGCGTTTCACTAAAAGAAACAACTTCCGGATTTATCTGTTTACATTCTTAGAAGTTGACACGTGCTGTTTGAAAATGTTGTATCTAGTTGGTCTTGGACTAGGAGATGCAAAGGACATTACAGTTAAAGGCTTAGAAGTAGTAAAAAATTGTAAAAGAGTGTATCTAGAGGCATACACATCAATATTGACTGTTGGAAAAGACGCTTTGGTATGATTAACAACAGAGACCTATAATATGTTACATATAATCTATCTTATGTCTCTGTTAGCTGTAATGGAATTAAGCATATCTTCACAATCTAGCTCTTGGACTAGCTAAAAAGTAAAAGGCTATAAATCTAAAGAAGGGATTGTATTGGACTTGTTTACTTATGTTAATTTAGCTACATATTTATATGAAACAAATTTCTGCCAAATCATTCTAATAATGAATGTCTCTAGAGACATTAAAAAAAAAAAAATCATCTTTGATGTCCCACAATTGGATTATTATAAAATCTAATGTGTTTTTGGAATGGGTTGTTGGGTTTGTATGCCACATTATGGGGAAATTGACAGATTACTTTCCAACACTTTCTTTCTCTTTCATCCTCGATCTCTCATCTGATTTCTTCCAGCTCTCTTTATTACCATTTTAACAACTTCTTTAATAATATACTCATCTAATATCTTTCAAGAGATTCTGCTGCCTCAGAAACTTGAAAAAGCTAACTGTAAAAAAAGAATTTAAAAAAAATAGCATGTGAAAAAGAGAACAGATCAGCAGTTTATCTCATCACAATTTTGTAATTCCCATTTCTTCAAGAATTGATGTTTGATGTGTAACAGGAAAGGGGAAAATGTGATTTAGCAGATTAAGATTCAAACCCAGGCCCTATGAATTTAATACAGGTGCTCTTCCAATTGATTTACATGTATCTGGTCACTGTCAAATGAATCTACCTGATACACAGCTGTAAAAATTGAAGGAAAAGGGAGTGGAGAATGTGGGAATGAATTTAATGTTCCCAGGCATATATTAATCTCTCTTGTATTTTGGTTTTAGCTGTGACTGTTCTTACAGTATTGTGTTAAAAATTTTAGTTTGCAAAGAATTTAATTTTAGCTAAATTGTTGTTAATCCAAAAGTTAATGAGAGTTTCGTATTTGTATGTTTATCAGTTTGATCCTTGCTTCCTATTTGTCCACCCTTCCCAATAAAGATATAAATTGAATTCCTTTGTTTATAGTTTAATACTTATATGCTAAATGATGTCCAGACCAGAATCTGCTTGTGATTTTATATAAGGCATTTTATCAAACAATCCTTAATAAATACCTTTCATGCTATGAATATATCTTTTTACAAGTAAATTGGCTTTACAGGAAGACTTTTATGGGAGAGAAGTAATTTTAGCTGATCGTGATTTGGTGGAGACAAATTCAGGTAAAATTTAACCCTGTCAAAGTGACTTTATATGAAATGTAATAAAATTTAAGAGATAGCCACATTAGCCAGGCATGCCTAAATCACCCAGGCAACTAAAACTACAGACTTGTCTGAGTGTTATCATTAATACATATACTGCATTGCTGCCTTATAACTAATGTAAAGTCTGAAAATAAGCAAAAAATAACAACTCAACAATGAAAAATAAATCTACCAAGTTTTCCTACTTTTATAGTTGAAAGTGATTCTAAAAGGTCATTTTATTTCAGATGAAATACTGAGAGGATCAGAGGAGGAGGACATAGCTTTCCTTGTAGTTGGGGATCCATTTGGGTTAGTTTACCAAGCATGTGAGCATTGTAGACCATAGGCCCTCATTGTCTGGGGGACCCAAAGGCATACTTTTTCACATATATGTATTTGCACATTTTACGGTATCTCTTTTTTGTAGAGCAACAACACACACAGATCTAGTTTTAAGAGCCAAGGAGAAGGGACTGAATTATAAAGTTGTACACAATGCCTCCATAATGAATGCTTGTGGATGTTGTGGATTGCAGGTAAATGAGTGAGAGAAAGAGAGAGAGATTTTTTAAAAACAAATATATATATATGTATATATATATATATATATATATATATATATATATATATATATACACACAAATTTGTTCAGGTGTCCATATGGAGAGATCCAGTGAATCGTGAATCATAATCCTTATGTTCTTAAAACTGTCATTTATAATTCTAACATTCATATGAAATAGCAATTACTTCTTAAATCTTACTACATGTTTGTGAGTGAATCAATTCAGCTAAAGTACAGCTTTTTTTCTTGGGCCTCTGATGAATATGTATTCAGATTCAGATATGGATTCATTGTTCAAAACATTATCATCATAATGAGATATGTTCTTGTTATACACTTGATGCATTAGAATTAGTACATGTATTGTTATATTGGACAATTTTGAGTAACCGGTTACTCGTTTACATGTGTACTTTTCCAGTCAAGTATCCAGTTAATCCGTTGTTTTTTTCTTTAGATGTCTGAACATCCTTGCTCGCTGTATATATTCAATAGTAACTGTAATATGTAATGTAACGCCATTACTATTTTTATATTTATCATTTATATACCAGCCTATAAGTAATGCAAATGCACTGTTTATGCACTTTATTTATTTTCTGATACCAATTCCAAAGCACAAAAAGCTTCTAATAAATTTGTTCTTGAATATCCTGAAATAGTTCGCTATTTTTGTGTGGTGTTCTTTATATATTGTTGGTTTTAGAGTTATGTTTCCATATGTGTTATTTCCATTTCAAATTTATACCTTTTTAATTTAAATTTCTTTTCAAACATTTTGGAATTTATGCCTTTGATGACTATGTTGGTATCCTGTTTAATCCTGTACTGCGGATGTGCTCAGTTCAAGTTTTGTAATTATAATTAACTCAGGTCTTCTAAACCTGTATACATCTTGGCAATCAATGCCATCAATTACCATGAACAAAAAAAAATTCTGTTTTTGTCCATATATCTGAGTAGAAGATTTACTAACTGATATTCCCATTGTTTGATGGTTAACTGGGTACTCGTTGACAACACTAATTTGAATGTTTTAATATTATTTATCCTGCATTCACTTTATCATATGCAGATGTTAACATATAAATGTTTTATCTTTTAGCTATATAACTTTGGTGAGACAGTTTCTATAGTGTTTTGGACAGACACATGGAAACCAGACAGTTACTACGACAAAATTAAGTCAAACCAAGAAAGGAAAATGCATACATTATGCTTACTAGGTAATTTAATTTTGACATCTTCAAATACTGTTTGCAAACCATAGCTGCTTGGAAAACTGTATGATCAAATGCTTTTATATCACCTATTGCTTTTGATTAGCCCAGATCACCTGCTTATATCTAATGGGCATGAAGACCTGTTGTTATTTTTTATGCCCCCCTTAAAAAAGGGGGCATATTTCTTTGCATCTGTCTGTAAGTGTGTCAGTCTTTATGTCTGTCAGTCTGTAGACCAGGACAACACTCAATATCTTCAGAATCCTTGCTTGACAGACATCAAACTTGAGATACACTGGTACTCCCTAAAGAGTAGATTTTGAGGTCGCAAGGTCAAAGGTCAAAAATCAAACTACATAGAAAGATCTTGTCCATTCAACATCTTGAGAGTCATTTGTTTGATGGACATCAAGAAAGCATTGGTTTCCCTAAAGGAATATTTGACCTTATTGATTTTGATGTCACAAGGTCAAAGGTCAAACTGGACATAGGAAGATATTGTCTGCTGAATATTTTGAGAGCACTTTGCTAGGCAAACATCAAACTTGGTACATTCATTCCCCTTAAGGAGTTGATTACATCTTGGTTTTGCTGTTATATGATCAAAGGTTCAAGGGTCAAACAGGACATAGGAAGATATTGACCACTCAGTATCTTAAGAACCCTTTGCTTGACGAGACATCGAACTTGGTACATTTGGTACACTGATTCCTTCTAGGGAGTAGATGACCCCTGTTTATCTTGAGGTCACAAGGTCAAAGGTCAAGGTCAAACAACATAGACACTAGACATAGGCAGAAATTGTCAGCTTAGTATCTTGAGAACCATTTGCTTCACAGACATCAGATCAAATTTGGTATTATGTATGCCCCTAACTAGAAAATGACCTATTGTTTTCACTATCAAAGAAAAATCAGTTTAGGCACAAAACACAACCATGATCAAACAAGTGATCTGTCCATATATACTCCGCCCTCTACTATGAAACAGTTTTTAGGAGAGGGTGGAATATTTTTTTCTTTTTTTTTCAAATAAAAACTTCAGACTCCTGTGATTTATATATATACATGTATGTATCTCTCTCTCTCTCTCTCTCTCTCTCTCTCTCTCTCTCTCTCTCTCTCTCTCTATATATATATATATATTTATATAAAAAAGATATTTTTCAGTTTTCATTCCATACATTTTTTTAGCAGTGCATAATTTTTTTTACAGATATTAAGATGAAAGAACAAACCATAGAAAATTTAATGAAGTAAGTATTTTGACTGTACGTGAAATAAAATATAGTGTTGGCTTTATACTGTATGTGTACTTATTTAGTGTAATCAAAGATGAAGTCTCAGTATTATGGCTTATTTGTGACCCCAGTTACTTGTCAAATTTTGAATCTTTTGCTAAAATATTAATTTTGGTCTGTCTGTTTGTCCATCTGTCCAGCTGTCATTCTGTCTCTCTTTAACATTTTCATTTCTGGATGATATCTCTAAAAATCCTATGCTTTTGGAATGAAATTTATATACCAGTACAGAATGAGGGTGGTTAAGTTCAGATTACATGTTCAACCTAAGTGGTTTCATTCCAATCAAAAAGAGTCCTTAAGCAGGGACAATTCCTTGAATTTGCTTGTCAGTACTATACTGACATTGTCCATTTTTACTATAGTTCAACAAGTAAATATTCCATTGTTTAGATTATAAACTTAAC